TGCTACTATGAGCGTGTGCTTGGAGGAAACAAGAGAGATCTGTGTAAATGCATTGCACAGGCAAATGTATTTACATACACTTCCAGTAATTGTCAGGTTTTAGAACAGCAAGCAATAGCTTCTCTTTCTATTTGAAAGTCAACTTTGTTTTTACAGCCATTGTATAAATGTTACAACTTCATTAAAAAGAAAATCAGAAAAGCAGCTCTTTTGTTTAACTACAGTAAATCAAATATGAAGATACATCAGGAAATATAAAACTCCCTTTTGATAAAAACAGTAACACTACAGTAGTTGACTTATCTGAGTAGCTTTCACCTTTAAGATAGGACAGCATCCACATACAACTTAAACACTTTCTTTTAAATAAGAACTATCAGAGTAAGTTCAGACCTCACAGAGGGTTTTCATGTTTAAGCACTGACTAACAAGAGGAAAGAAAACATGGAAACATATGCAATTCCACAAAGATCTCTCAATAGCACCCGACACTAAAAGTTACCCTTCCTGCATCTCAAAGTGTCACCTGTAAAGTTCTTCTTCTCAACCCACCACAAACTAACCAGACACACACTTCAGAGGATGAAACAGACGCAGTGACACTGACACTCCCCAGGGTAGCAGTAAGATCAAATGAAGCAAATTCAGAAAGATGGACTCAGGGCAGAGACTCCCCACACAGAGCTGCAGTGCTGTGCCAGCACTCTGCCTGCTGCAACACTGAATGCTGTTGAACAGCAGTATGTACAACTTCATTGTGAACAGCAGAGAAGGGATGGAAGTAAGGAAGGAAAATAAGGACAGAAGATTCTTCTCTCAACCTTTACACACATGTTCTCATTAACAAAACCCCAAACCTGCAGATAAAGATGCTCACCTGGCCTGGGTCTGATATATCATAGCTGTGATGGTCAATGACAGCTGTCCTTTCTTCATCAAACTCTATCCCACACTCACTTCCCAACTCCCGCAGTGGGTCACCTGAAAGGAGAACAAGATTCCAGAATGCAGAGGGCTCAGAAGAATGCAACCCAGTCTCAACACTCAAAATGTGTTTAGCTGAGAGTGACACATTCAGCACTCTACCTGCCAAACTCTGAGCATTGCAACTTCCCTCTGCTAAATTCCCATTCAAAAATGGAAATAAAGGCTGGTTTAATTTCTCACCCCAGGCCAAGCATTCATCTTCTCAAAGCACAAATCTTGAGGTTCATAACTGCACACAAAGTGCATCTACTTAAGGCTCTCATCCACAAATAACCAGAAAAGACCTCTTCTCAAGCATTTCTCCAGCACATCTAGGAAGTGCAAAGCTGAAGGACACTGACCTACGAGCTAATTAGGTATTGTGTTTTTCCCACTGCATTTATTTTTCAGGTGCTCCAAGGAAGAGGATCTGTTTGCTGCAAGTATGTGTGACAGGGTTGACATGTAGCGATGTTCTCCACAGCCCAACAGGCACCACACTCACCAATGTCTGAGCTGGCGGCCACCAGGACACTGCCACCACCGTCAATGAAAGCAGTAATGGTCTCCACATTGATGTTTCCTCCAAAATCTGCAAGTGCACACCAACAGCTCATGACTGTCCCATACCAGAGCCTTGTCTTTCACAACCACCCCCAAATGGCCCCAAGCCCCTCCCTGAATCACTGCTGAAGCACTTCCCCAGCTCATACCCTCAATGGATGGTGAGAAGATGACCAGGTTGTCATACAGGAACTCCCCATACTTGATCAAGGAGAGGCCAGCATCATCTGCGGTCCGGAAGGTGAGCTCAAAGCCCCTATCTGCAGCCATGACATACAGAATCATAAGTTTGGAAAACACTACCGAGATCATCCAGTCCTACAGCCAACCCACCCCCCACAACACCCACTATGTCCCCCAGTGCCACATCTTCACAGCTTCTGAACAGCTTCAAGGACTCCACCACTTCCCCGGGCATCCTGTACCAAAGCATCACCACTCTTTCTAAAAAAAAAAAAGTTTTCTTTTATCAAACCAGAACCTCCCTGGAACAACCTGAGGCCATCACCTCCAGACCTATTCCTGTTAGTGGGCATAGCGGCCATCCCCACCTCACACTGCCTCCTTTCTGGGGTTACAGAAAGCAATGAGATCTCCCCTGAGCCTCCTCTTATCCAGATTGACCCATCCCAAATCCCTCAGCCGCTCCCCACAGCGCTGCGCTCCAGAGCCCTCACAGCTCCGTTCCCCTCTCCAGACCCGCTCCCGTGCCTCTCGCAGCGAAGGCCCCAACCCCGCACACAGCATTTGGGACACCCCACCCTACCCGCCAGGCTACGGAAAAAGAGCGAGTGCGTGTCCCGCAGGTTGCCGTTCTCCAGCAGCACCAGGGTGCGCGGCCCAGCCCCGGCCGCCGCCACCGCCGCCAGCAGCCACCACAGCCGCACCGCGGCAGCCGCCATTTTCTCGCCGGCGTGGGGCATCCTGGGAAACAGGCGGGGGCAAGGAATCAGCCAATGGGCTCCAAGCGCAGCGCCCCGGCCATCCAATCAGCGACGGCCAGCTCCCCGCTGGAAACGGGAAGGAACGAAGTTGTCACGTGACGCAGCCCGCACAGGGTTGGGGGGCTGCGGGAAATGGAGGCGGGCGCCCCGCAGCCCGGAGGCCCCCGAGCGTGCAATGAAAAGTGCCGTGTCCTGGGCACAGCGCGATAGCAGCGTCCGCGTGGCAGGGATGTAGCTCAGCCCCGCTCGGGTAAAGCCCTCCTCAGCGTCTGGGAATAATGTAAACTTACAGCAATAAAAATCATTCTGCTACCTGGAAGGAACCGAATAGCCTAAAATGAGCGATTTTAGGAAGTCTAAAAGGCGGCAGCTCCTGCTCGACGTAGGTCTTCGGGGCTCCTCTGCTAAAGCTGCCGGCTGGCACCAGCGGAGCACACACCCAGCAGCCTGCACACAGCGCCCAGCCCTGACCCTGCCACGTCCCAGTGCTCAGAGCCCTGGCAGGACGGGCACAGCTCAGGGCTGCTTCTTCGCACTCAGCCAAAAGAGCTTTCTGGCAGGGTTGCGCTGTGGCAGGGCTGGAACTGCCAAGAGAAGAAACAGCATTAAAGGGCTGAATTCTTTGCAGTAGTAACGTGTTCCCCAATCCCAACAAGTCACTAATGATTGGGCTGACAGGAGCCTTGGGGAGCTGTGCAGTGATTTGCCTCCAGCAGCTGAGGATGTGGATCAGACAGCGGTCACAAGAGCCCTTGAGAGTCTTGTCTTACAGGAGGGCAATGTGTCTCTCGGGCAGAGGCAGCTCCAGATGATGAGAATCACACAGGGACCCAAAATCCAATCAAAGCTTGGTGTGAGGCCTCAGGAAAGCCCACCCAAGTCTAGATGCTGCCTTGCCTTAATTTCTCAAGCTTTTAAACAAGCCCTGTAATATCTCCTTTGTAGGGCTTTTTCATTAACATCAAAGTGATCTGAGATCCTAGCAGAAACAGCTTTAGAAAGGGCATCTGATTTATTTAAACACTAACGGCAAATTCACTCTCTAGTGAAGGCACACAGAAAACTGACAGCTTAGCAGGGAATCCTGTGCCAGCTCTCCAGTTTGTATCACCTACTCGCCCAAATTTTTGTGTAGATCCAGCGAGTTTTGTCCTCATTAAGTTGTTATTTAGACTTGGTGAAAGGCAGAAGCCTCCACTGTACACAGATGACACAAGTGAGTGCGGTCCAATTGCCATTTATTGACCTGCTGATGAGCCCAGGAGAAGCCATGGGATGGCACTGTGGCCCTGACACTCCTCTTACCTGCAGGCAGGCGTTTTTTTTTGCAATGTCAGGCTCTGACAGAATTTTCCAGCAGCCAGACTCCTCATCCCAGACAGACTTGCACTTGATCTTCCCCCACATTGCTGCAGTTGCAGTCTCGCTGGATGAGGGACTGCACCTGATCCAGCAGCTGCTGGGAGAGCCTCATGTCTTGCTCCAGACTGTGGTTGCTGCTGAGATAACTGATCTTCTCCAGCTCAAACTGACTGCAGATCTTTGATTTCTGTCCCAGCAGCTCGCAGCTGCATCATAAAAACAACAAAATGACTGGCTGGGATTATAGCAGAGAGAGAAGTGGAGGTTACTACAAGCACAGACATTGGTTAGAGGCAGAAACAGGAATTAGTCAGAGGGTTTATTCAGGGGTATGTGATAAAACCAAAGCTTGGCCAAAGTAAATCAGCAGCTTACACTTTCATTGTCCGCTGCGTGAGAGTGAGAAGGTGCTTATAGAAGAGCAATGGTGGCAAACCAAGAACACCAAAGGGGTTCCGTGATCTGGATTTACACTCAACCGAAGCCAACAATTTAGCAAAATTCAAACATAAAGAAGTTAATAAGCAGCTACTGTTAGCGCCCACTCTTAAAAACAAAAGCTTCAGTGCTTTCTAACTTATAATTAATAATTGGGATGAGATTTTATCTGGAAAGAGAATTCCACATTTGTTTAAATGGAAGACTTGACACATCATCCCATGAATTACTGAGGCTTCAAATGCGCTTAAATTTGCACCATGTGTTCCCTGTCCCGAGCTAACAAAGTCACGGGATTCCTATTTTAGATGAAAAAGGTGCCATACTTCTTTGGTAACCTAAATTAAGCAAGTTCTTAACATGCAGATTTCTGAGGCATAGGCGCATGTTTTCAAAACTCCTCTGATTCTGCCTCATGTAATCAGAGCAAAACTGATTTTCAAGCATGCCTAAGATGTAAGGGTGCTGCTTATGTATATAAAAACAATATGCGTTTATACATAGAGTTTTATATTTTTTAATATATTTGCACAGCTCATTTTCTTGGGTGATCAGAACGGGTGCTGCCGAGGATGCAGTGAGCAGCGTCAGTCAGTGGAGGGAGTCGCATCCTCTCCCATAACAGAGGAGCTCCTCTCGGTGTCCAGCTACACAACAAGGCGGCCAGCTTTTAAAACCCTTGGGGACGGGGGACGGGGGGGGAGGGGGGGGGGGGGGGGGGGGGGGGAGGGGGAGTTTGAGAACGCTGGAGTCGTGGAGCAAGTTTGTCCAGCAGTTCCTAAAAATGCGTGCAGTGGAGCTGGACTCGGTGATCCCTGTGGGTCCCTGTGGGTCCCTTCCCACTCCAGAAATTCTCTGGGTCTAATCAACATCGTAGGTACTAACGCATGCACACATGGCATGTTAGACACAGGTGCCATCATTCTGTAAATATACTACCCTAAGGTATCTCGTTAGCATTAAAAAACGGATAAGCAGAGAAGGGAAAATGGTTGAGGAAGTGTGGAACTAAGGAGTGAAAAAGCCATCCTGAGAATAATCCTAGTGAATGCTCCCCGAATTGGAAACAGGGAACTGTTTTTGCAGGCTCACCTTCTTCTGCATCTTCTGCAGAAGTTTGCTCTTGGCTCAAACCTCCTCCTGGACGTTAAGAAGAACCAAATCACTGCTGTCATCATCGAATTTCTGCAGCATAGCCGCATCCTCTGCTCATCTGCAAACTTTTTCCAATGTTACGCTTCTCCTTGAGGTCCTTGTTTTCAGCCTCTTCCCCCCTTACCACTTGTTCTGGTGCTTCTGTTTGCTGAGCATTACAAGGAAGCATTTGTGTAGCTGTGAAGGATGAACTTCTGTACCTGAACGATGCTTGAGACAACACCATACAGAAATAGCGACTCCTTGGGAGATTTGCTGTCCCGAGTAATCCTGGCAAATTCCACGTGTCAGAACAGTTTGCTATATATGAACTCTGTGTGAGTATACATGTCAGAAACATGACGACAAAGGTGATCAGAATAACAAGTGCAACTGAGAGTGTGTCTATATGCACAGAATTGCTTTTTTATTTAAAAAAAAAAACCAATGTTTTTAATAAACTCCAATATATAAATTCCAATGTGGAATTTATATTTCAATTATTATTTCTCGTTTGGAAAGGTTCTCAGAGCAAGCACAGGAGGTGCTGAAATGATGCAAATATATTTCAAATGGCAGATGTTGCAGTGGTAAGGCTGTAAGTGATAATATAGTTTCTTCTTTGGAGCAGTACTATCAGATGGATTAAATGATGTGGGCTACCTCAGCATAGCCACCTGTGTGCAGGCACAGGCCCATGTTTTAAACCAAGCTCATCTCACACTCACACTGCACAGCCCCACACACTGACATGGGTGTGAAGCAAGCCCTGCAGGAGCCAGGACTGCTGTTCTCACAGCACTGTGACTATCCAAGCAGGCAAGGGGTTTGTAGGTAGCCTGAGGCACAATGGAACACAGCAAACTCTTCGACAAACGTAGCAGTGTTCCCTTTATGCCAGTCTGGGTGTGCACCAGCCTGACTTCTTAAGGGCAAAAGTGATTTAGTCCTGGCAATCTTACACCAGCAGTAAAACTCCTGGAAGGGAGATAAATATTCAACAGAGTGCTGAGTGCAGGCATTCTGCTAATCTCTGGTGTGAATTCAGATCCCAGGCTGCTCGCCCCTTGTGCCACTGCACTGGTGTGGCAAACAACTCCAGGCACCCCTTCCTGGTGCAGCTGGTGCCTCTTCAGACAAGGCACACTGAGCTCCTGAGCTGCTAGCTGCTCTCTTTGTCTGCACTGACATCTGTATCAAGGCAAACAGGTCAGGCTCACCAGCACCGACTCAGATTGGAGAAAATCCTACTGCTGATAAAGCCTCTACTGATAATAGCCTCTTAATGATCTTCAAACCCATCAGAAAGAGCTCATTCTCCACCAAAGATGACCTGCTATTCTACTTCCCTGCAGTTGCCAAAGCTTTCAGTTTTGTTTGCTTAATGCAGGACTGAATCCTGCTCTGCTGACTCTCAGCCACCCTCTGGTATAAAGCATTTAAAAGGTGACTTTGAAAATTCCACACCTGTGGAATCAAACCCTCCTGCCTAATCTGCAGCCAACTCTGATTTTTACAATGCAGTTGGCATTTTTCCTCCCTTATCACAGGAAGAAAAACTTCAGGCACTAAGACTATTAAAATTTGATATACCGTCAAAACAAATGGTTTCTTTGGAGCCATCTCCATCAACAGACACAACTCCTCACAAATTACAGACAGTGCTATCCTAGATTTGTTAATAGCTCCTTTTGCAGTGGGAGAGGCCCATCACAGTGAGTGTGTGTCATGGGAGCTGACAGAGATCAGCGACATGGAGATGTGACCCTGCACCCCTCACACCCCAGCCATGAGATTCAGGCCCCGGGTCTAATGCTGCCAATAACATTTTGTTCCCAGGCAATTTTAATGCCAGCTCTGGCTGAAGTCTTGCAGGTACTCTCAGATGCATGAGTTAAAGGCAGAAGTGATAGTGATCTCAGTGACAATGGAGAGTCTCTCAGGAGAACTCTCAATGAGAGTTCATCATTATGGCATTAGGCATCAGAGTACTGCACCTAGCAGCTATTTGTCTGCTCCAAATGGACACAGTTAATTTGGGGATAAAGAATGTGCATCTGCTTGATTTTGCACTGCACAGAACACATAGCTGAAGTTGAGCAGTCATGCTGCTGTGCAAGCAGGATTCAGGGCAGCCAGCAGTGACTGCTGGCAGGGTCCAGCAGGATGGAAAGACAAAAGTAGGGAACCTGCTTTGGCAGGGGGGTTGGACTCGATGATCTCTGGAGGACCGTTCCAACCCCTACAATTCTGTGATTCTGTGATTGCTTGTTGCCTGTGTGCAACAGGAGGCAGTTATCAGAAGCAGCCACTGAGCTGGCAAGCACCTGCTGCTGCTCCACAGGGGCTGAAGTCCCTTCTGGTATGACAGCTCCTCCACTCCGGCGTTCCCATCGCCAGCACCTCGCACAGCTTGAGGCACTGCTGAGTCCTGAGGACAAGAAGAAACAAAAGGCTGCATCTCTGAAAAGATGCAGGGTGAATCCTGGAAGAGTCGAAGAGTGACACTGCCCACCTGGGTCTCTTCAGCCTGGGAGGGAGAAGTGGACTGCAGGGAACCTTGACTGATGTCAGTTCTTCATCTGCTGCAGCAGGAGTCTTCAGGCAAAGGTGTCTCAGTAGGATTAGTCTCAGAATTCACAGCAGCTGAAGAATAAAAGAGCAAATACCTGCAATGTAAATAGTGAGCTCTGCATAGAATATAAATCTGTGAAAACATCACCAAACCTTCCACAAAAGCTGAAAGCTGTTTGTTTGGCTGGGAGAAGTCTGTTTGTTATTTACCTTCTTAGGTTGGTAAGTAAAAACCATCAGACCTAGAGGGCAAGTCAGGCAAGGAATACAGATCTTACAGGGCTGGGAAAACCCTGAACCTCACATTCACATAGAAACCTATTTCAGAAGTGCAGGGGGTACACGCTTGTAGTCAGAGGGAAAACAATAAACCTTTCACCATAGAAAGTGGTAGCATCAAGAATTTAGAATATGGTTGCAAGGATTAATATTGGACAAAACGTGCTGTGTAAGCTCATTACAAAACATGCTCTGAGGCACCGCGGGAGTATAAATGAAAAATGATAATGAATTGGATAGCTGGCAACTCTTTATAGGTGCGTGACAGGAATACCTGCCCTGCAGCAAAGCGATGGTGTTGATAATCCACCAGGAAACCAAGAGCTGCATCAGATTTGTATGCGACGGAAGATACTGCTGCAGCCTGCTTGTCTGGGGCATGTGGGTTGTGGGAAGCCAATCAGATCAAGGCTGCTGCCTGCTGAGACAGCTCTGCAGCATAAACCTCTGTTCAAGAGGAATGCTGATCTAAGGCAGAGAGAACTCACAGCTGCATGGGCAAAATTCCATTTTGTTGCCTTAGGGCTTGCAGGGCAGGGCCAGGCTGGTCTTGACATGGAAAAGAGCTCAGGGAAATAGGGAAGCTGGGACAGAGTCTCGCAAATGGCTCAGAAGGCAGTCACACTCCTGCTGTCAATACGGGAGAGGTAGAGCAGGGGCTGCGACGCTTGCTGCAGCAGTTGTCAGTGCCTCTTCAGAGGCTGCAGTGGCTGCCACAAGTCAGAGTTTGCAAGAAACCTTCTGTTTCAGCTCATTCCCAAAGGCAACCCCGCAGTGTCTGAACAGCACCAGGGCACCATGGCTCTGTGCTGTGCACCCTGTGTGTCTGAACAGCACCATCACTCTGCGCTCTGCACCCTGCCTAATCCACACCTGCTTCCTTCCTGAGGTTCTCCTCGAGGGCAGACAGCTTGAGACCACAGCAGATCCTTAGGTTATGATGCCTTATTTAAGGCAGGCACGGGACTTCTGCTTCACTTCATGCTGGCCTTTAGCTGGGCCAGCATCTCTTCCTTCTCCTGGGCACAGCAGAACCTGGTGCAGCAGCACTGCTCCTGCCTGTACACAAGGTCACAGCTTACATCCACCCCAGTAAAACTGTACTCATTGACATTTTCCTGTGGCTGAAATGGATGCAGCATTGATGAAAGGTGACAGGCTAGCCCTACAAACTGCTTTTTGGGCAGATGTGGTGCCCTGGAAAGGGCTTTGTAACAAGTGAGGACAAAGTTCACTTCCTTCTGGTCCCTCTACTTCTATCTTCTCTACCAACTCCTCATTCTTCCACTTGGCTCCATCTCTCCTCCTCATCCTTCTGTTCCTAATGTCTTTCCCCCCTCCATTGATGGAACAAATTTAAACATCACATGTAATTCACTCTTGTTATATGTGCTTCAAGGAAAGCCCCACTCGTCTGGAGATGAAGTGGAGTGAACAATAATGAGAGGAAATGATATTGTAAATAAGGCCATAAGAAACAAGCCAAGGACAAAAAAAAAAATGTGATGACAAATATACTGGAAAAGCTTACGTCCTATTTGCAGTATGTACTATAAAAATCCACAAACTTCAGTCAAAGACAGTAGGACATATCATACGATTGAATCCCTGCTGCCTTACTTCTCTGATCAGCTGCTTCTCTGCTTCAACATCAGGAGGAGAGCTGGCTTCCCTTCCCAGTGAACAGCCTCGGCAGGTGGAAGCCCTGCAAAGCAAAGCAGCAATAAAATCATGCACAGTTACTGGGTGGGACTGCCTGTGGAGTGCCTGGAAACAGAACAAAGGAGCTCGCTGCCAGCAAAGAATATCGCCATCCATGTGCTCCTTTGCACTGCACTCATGTGCCAGAATCTGTGCTGCTAAAATGCCCACTGGCCACCAGCTCCAGAGGTGTGGGGAGAGGAATCAGCGCCGAGCAGAGCAGGAGCTTCAGGTATATGAAAGCAAATATGTCTGATCTCTGTCAGAATAACAGGAGATCTGTTTCCCAAACCATGTTAACAGATTTGGAAGATAAAATATACTGGGAAGGAGATTAAAAAGTGCAGGGAAATTCCTCCTGTCTTCTCAGCTGTTTTTGAAAGGCAGCAGAAAGGGGAAAAGAGAAAAATCCTTCAGCCTCTCATAACAGTTGACCTTTGTCACAACTCTCAAGAGATGATCAGGTCCCTAAAGATTGCTCCCAGGTTTCCTATTCCTGCTGCCCAGCACAGTGGGTCTGCTGAGGGTGAATCCTTGACGAGAGGACAGAGCATTCTGTAAGGAATGCTGTTAGCGAGGCAAAAACTTCCTGTAGTGCCAAAAGTTCACAGTTCAGGATAACAGGAGCTAATGCTAATTAATGCTAATTAAACAGAATGCTAATAAAAAAAAAAAAAAGTACAATTGTATTTAATTGTATTTAATTTTACATTGTTATTTCTCCACCATCTTTGCTCTGCCAGCTGAAATCCCTTTTCTGTTGACCAAATTCTACCCACACTAACCAATAAGAATCAAGGATTTGAATCCTATCAGCATTTTCTAACAAAATTAGTCATTATTGAAAACTAGAGAAACTATTAGAGAATTAAGATGTTCTTTACCGCTGGAATAAGGTCATTTTGACAATACTGAAAGAAAAGCACATTACCAGAATGGACACCTCTTCCTGCAATGGATGAGGTGAGATCTGGTGAGCATTTTACTTGCAAAACCACTTTTTTTGGTCAAAGATAAAACAGCTCTAAGGCTGAGGTTTTCTTACCTGACAAATTATTCACATTCATTTCTTCAGCTAGAATGGCCTTCAGCTTCTTAATCTCCTCCTGATATCCCTCAGCAGAGCATCCCTGATACAGGACTTGTTCTTGATGTTTTTCACTCGATTTGCATAGCACAGGACTGAGGCGTTCATCATAGCTGTTGTCAGCTGGAGATAAGCACGCTACCATCAGGGCCTCATATTCCCTCCCAGGGAGCCATGCAGCAGCCTGGTCAGCTTTGAGTTGTGGTGGGGATGTGTCTGCACCTGCCATCAACCAGGACTGAGAGCACAGAGGGAGGGAAGGGCTGATTTTAGTGGCCTCTTTGCTCTGCTCTCCTGTAGTTCCAGTTTCTGACTGTCTCCTGCTTCCTGCCTGGTTCACTACATTAAGATTTGCGGCCCTAAGGTGGTCCTGCCCTCTCTCATCTGCAAGAAAATCATTCCAAGTTAGGCGCTACTCAGGAAGCAGCATCTCAATGGTCAGGAACCAGAACAGGCACTTAATCACAGAATCACAGAAACACCAAGGTTGGAAAAGACCTACAGGATCATCCAGTCCAACCATCCACCCATCACCAGTAGTTCTCACTAAACCTCAACACTAAATCCAAATTAGTTCCTTGAACTAACGTGATGCCACAAGTCTCCTGTTAGTAAGGCAGACACTTTAGGAACCCTTCAATTTCACCAGCTCCTTACCACACTCAGCTTCATACCCATCTTTCGTCAAATCAGGCATATTGTCCACAGCACTCAGATCCCTGTGCCCCAATCATCCCTCATGATTGCATCCCGAGTTCAAGGGAATTCCTCCTTCGGCGCTCCGAGCTCCAATTTGCACCAGGGAACAGTTTGACCCATGTCTGCTCACTTCTAGGCAAACTTCTACAAAACCTCACCTTGAATTTAATCAGGAATTAAACCTTATGGATGTGGATGTGGAGGATACCTAAACAATGAATAATCTGATGCACGGGGGAAAGGTTTGTAATGAGAAATAAAGGCATGAGAAACAAAGGAAACCCACTGCCCTGGGGTATTTCACTTACAGCAGTGGGTTATTAACTGCAGAGCTTAGCATTTGCAGCAAGCACTGCCTCACAGCACACGCTCTGACATGTCTGGACATGGAAGGGAAAAAAGAAAGAAGAAAAAACAAACAAACAACAATAGAGCTTAAACAGAGCACCCTCTCACCATTCTTTCTGATTGCTGGGGTTAAGGGACTGTTATAAAACATAGGTTTTCTAATTCTTTCCTTCCCTGTCCCAGCTTATGTAGACAACAAATAAGTCACTTTGGTCATTGTCAGCGTCCTTTTACCCAAGGAGGCTGTTTGCTTCCATTGCAGAGCTTTGTGGTTTGGTTTCCATCTTGTAACAAGGTCCCCAGACTCACTGAAATTCCTGCAGGTGTTGCCTGTCTCGTCCCCACGCAGCCCATCAGCTGCTCCTGGTGGCAGAAGCACCAGCTCGATCTAAAACATCTTCCTGCTGAGCAAATCAATCCCTAAACACAACATAAAGGGATAAAATAGCTGCTACTCTAAACACCCTAAACATCAGATGGTGCCTTGCCTGTTTTGCACATCTGCAGTCAGATCCCCGTGCTCACCATCATCCTGTTTCTGAACTTTTGTTTGGAAATAAAGCTCACATAGTTGTGAGGAGCTTCTTTAAAACATTAAGCACCTGCAAATTATAACATCCTACATGTGCAACTGGAAAATAAGTTGCAACTTACTCACACACTTCTTTGAGAAGCCTAAAGATGGTAACATAAATACCTGTTCATTTAGGAGCCCTGCACCCAACACAAAACAGGAGTGTAAACGCTTCATTTTCCTTGTCAGGCTTAAAGTTGAGGCTTGACATAACCACATAATGCAGGGCTCAGCATCCACCAGCTGTGCTAATTGAGACATTCCATGAACCCAACACACATCACTTTGGGCAGATGTAAATGAGATACTCTCATTAACAGCTGGAACTACCATTTAGAAAGACATTATGCAACTTTCCTGATGGCTGAAACACCTGTGGAAGAGAACACAACCAAGCTGTTCAGGGCCCAGCTGGGGTCAAGGATGAGACAGAATACAGGAGATTAATTTCTTTCTTAGTCCCTGAGGAAACCTTTCAAGGTCCTTGTCCAGATGCAGTAGGCAGCTTTGTCAGCTAAAGAAATGACAGCTGAAATGAGATACTTGGGAAAGGAAAATTAGTCACTAAAACATCATTAAGGGACTCTTTTATTCTATCTTTAAACCCAGATTAGTGGTTTGCTTAAAAGACGTGCCCCATAATTCAGCTAAATGAAGGAATCCTTGTAAGAGAGGTCAGACGAGGGAGAGAAGGATACAAGTTTCTCAAGGCTTTGCAATGTCTGAGCTCCAAGGCAGTGTATTGGCTGTGAGTCCTAGCGGCCTTTGCTAGAAATAAAGGCTTTAGAAGATAAAAGAAGGAGAACAAAACATGTTTCCAGATTGAGTGCAAGACATTTCAGCCCGAAGGGGAACTGAGGAGGAAAGATATAGCCATCTCACTCTACAAAGCATCCCAGTGTCAGGGCACCGTGCTGATTTCTATGGACCAAAGTCACGTACGCTCCAACTTCTGCCTGGGGGCTGAATGGTTGGATCCCTCTGGTTGCATGGATGCAGCACATCCAGCTCCTACCTATGGTGCAGACTTCTATATGGATGGTAAAGATGGAGCAGGAAGAGCCCTTGTTCATCACAGCGTTCCTCTGGTCTGCCTCCACAATCTGCTCACTCTGCACCACGCTGTGCGCAGGCTGCAGGGAAAGCCCCTCCACGCACAGCACCTTTCCAGGTGTGCCTTCAGCTGCAAGCAGGGACAGCACAACACAGGACAGGAGGGGAGCAAGGCTGCAGAAGGGTGTGCAGAGGGCTGCCCACCAGCTTTCAGACCACACAAAAAGAGGGAACCACCTTTACAGCCAAAAAGAGTGAAGGTTATGAACTTGCTGATGGCTTCAGCCATCTCCCAGGACACAAGCAACCCAACTTCTCTGCACTGAGCTGCCTTCTACCTCCTCTATTATTAAGCAGCATATTTTAAGATGAACAGAAATGTTTTTCACCTATTATGGCAAAGTCTCTAATATATATCATCAGTCATAGGGAGCTTTTTAAAACCAAAGCACCGATTCAGTAATCAGATATTGTTACTGGTGCTGTACTGAACCCCTCCGTTCTGAGAGGGCGCCTGATTCGCACCAACGCAGTTCCCCAAATCACACCATCGCACACAGGCAGACTACGTATTTTTTTTCCTCCAGATGAGTTCATTTATCCGATGCTCTAAAATCACATCCAGGCACCTGGGCAGTGTTAAATGACTAATGGCATCTTTTCAAAACCATCAAAGGAATCACTAAATCGTGCAGAAGAAAACACGCAGCACACTGAGAAATGATTGAGGTGTTCAAAGTATCGAACAGTCCATCAAACCTACATTTAAAAAAAACCAAAAACACAAAATAACTGAGAACAGTGCACTCCCACATGAGCTCCTTCTGAAAATCCATCCACGCTGGGAATTTTAAATGAGAGGAATTCATTTGCACCAGCTGTGTTACACCCCACATCCGCTGAGCTCATAACCAAAACCTGATGGTGCCAGCAGGGATCATCAGGGATGCGATAGATCATAGCATGGTTTGAGTTGGAAGGGACCTGTAAAGGCCACCTGGCCCAACTTCCCAGCAGCAATCAGGGACACCCACAGCTCCTTTGGGTGCTCAGAGCACAGATACTGCCTTTGGGGGTGTGAGCTCCGAACACCTCGAGATGTTTTGGTGACGCTACAGGAAGGGATGTAAAAAAAAAATCAAGGCAAAATGGAGCAAATCCTTCTGAAAACTGAACTCAGCAGGATGTTATCCTTGTTTATGTCACTGCAAAGCCGTGCCTGCCCTGAATTAACCCAGTTCAGAACCACAGCCAGGTTGGTTGCACACCATGACTTCTGACTGCACTACAGGAGAACTGGCACAGCTGCACTCCAGGGTGCCACAGAGGCCTTTCCAGGGCTGTCTACAGCCTGGCCACGCCGTGCTCCTACCAGAGCTCCTACTACCTGCTCTTCTGTCAAAGGACTTCGTTCCACAGCTGGCAGCTGAGTCTTGGGGCTTCAGACTGTACAAAATCACTGATGTTAAAAGGCAAGGGAACAAAGACACGGGATTTCAGAGGAGATTAGCAGGCTCTGGGACTCAGAAGAAAGCTGTGGGTCAGCCCAGGCCTTCTGCCTCCACAGGACACGGCTGGACTCCTTGCTAGAGGAAGCAGTGAGGCTGGTGGCTGTCCCCACAGCGCTGGTGTTTCCCTGGAAACCGCTGTGCCCGAGTCCTGCCCTCCTGGTGCCAACTGCAGTCGTCATGGAAACCTGTGTCACTGCTGATGGGAAACAAAGAATGGGGATTTGCAGCAAGCGTGGTCTAAATCAGCACCGAGCCCCTTTTCTGCCTTCTCTCTCCCAATGTAAGCACGCTCGGAAAGCAAAGCAGGGCGCTGCCTGCAAGAGGATTTGGCTTCATGAAGGCAGGAGCCCATGTAGCACCGCCTCCAGGCTGCAGGCACTGCAGGTCCCTTCCAGTGCAGTGCTGCCATGCCCCACATGTGCTGCCGCTGCGGCTTTCCCTCGCAGGTGGGCCTGCAGGGGAGCAAACTGGGGCAGAAGATTTGCAGGTGCCCCCGGGAATACATGCAAAAAGATCTGCGAAGACTCTAAGAGGGGCATTTTGTAGGGTCATTTCTGCCACTTGGTTGGGATTTCAGTGCATTTTTTCCTCCGGCCTTCCTGGCTTCAGCTCCAACATGTGCTTGATATCGGCTCCTAGAAGGTCTCATATGTCCTCACTGTAAATCTCCAGGCAGGAAGCTCTCACCAAGAATCTGATGGTTTCAGCACGCTGTACAAAACAGGAATGAATTCAGGAGGAGGTTCACAGCATGAAGGCAAGCAGGCAGCCCGCAGAGTGCCAGCTGGGCACCCACCTCCCTGCTGCACCTCCTCACACCTCCCATGGCATTTCATGCTCGGGTATGACTACCGAACACATTTGCTTCCAGGCCTTAAATATCTCAGGCATGCAGGACTGTATTTCTGTAGGGTTCTATGACAGAGCCAGTACTGAGGTGACTGAAATGCTGCGCTCAGTTAAATCAGCACCCTGCTCCGAGTACAGACATCATGGTACTTTGCAACACCTGACACTGCAGCTCTGCTGGAACCAAATCTGCCCTGATGGTCACACAGCACAGTTTTACCAGCAGTGCAGCTGAGATGGGAGAAGTTACTTCCAGAAGTGAAAAACAGACAAATGGCAGCAATTCACTGAGAATCCAAAGTCTGTCCCCATCCTCTCTCCCAAGTGCACTCCTTCTTTGGGGTGTTCCGTCTGCCTGCTGCTCCCCTGACGTGTTTAGGGTTAAAAACAGTGCTTTGGTTAAAGCACTGAACTGAAATGATAATACCATCACAGCTCTCTGACAACTGCAATTTTGGGAGAAAAGAAGAACAGAACAGTGTGGATATTACTCCTCCATTTCCCAGAAGGGCTGCCAGCATAAATGCTTCAATTCCTACAGATCAGGGAGCATTATGCTGTAGAAGGTGCAGAAATTGTCTTTGTAGGTACCGCATGACATTACAACAGGATCTCTTCCACATTATCACACACCTGTGTGCTCTCAAAAACGCGTTCCAGTGAGAAAAATAAAATAAACCAACCACAGAACGGCCTGCAGGTGGGTGGTGAAAACTGCAGGGGCAGCTGACAGTGCTGAAGGCCAGGACGGTTTTGCCATAGGGCAGGAAATCTTCAGGAATATGGATTCAAGCAGGATGCCAGCTGAGTGCAAGGCCAGCAGCAAGCAGGCATCACTGCCATTCATTCCTGTTTTGGAGAGAGCCAAGGCAGGAACAGAAGGCATCTGGGACTTCCATCTTACACCTATCACTGGCCATTCTGTCCTTGTAGCTTCTGCTAACAGCAGAGGTTGGGTTGACCTGTTGGTTTTCAGTGGTTGTGTTTGGTTGGGGTTTTCTGGGCTGCTTTTCCCCTCCCAGCCGCTCACCTGCTGACACACCAGCAGGCACCGCGCATCCCCTCGCAGCTTCTGCTTCGCTTCTCCAGCAGGAAGAGATTTCCCACCTCCTCCAAGGCGTCCCGCTGGGCCGCACGAACAGCCCGACGCCCTCAGCAGCGCTGCAGGTCACCCTTCTCCTCAACCTCGTTCCCTTGCCGGAAAAGCAGAGCCCTGCCGGCCCTGCCGGCCGCACCTCTCGGCTCTCCGTCCCGGCTCAGCCCCGCACCGCTACAGCCCACCCCCCTCTCTACTTAAACCCCCGTGGTTTCGGACGCCGCTACCCAAGGCCCGCCGAGGCCAAGGCCCGGTCAGCAGGACCGCCGCTTGAGGCCCCGCCCCGCGGGTCACGTGCCGCAGAGGGCGCGCGCGGGAAGACGGGCGAACGTGCGGCGTGGTGTGCGCGTGCGTGGAGCAGCGCTGGGGGGAAGGGGGGGAGGGGCTGTGCGCGGTGTGGTCGCGTGAGCGCGGGGCTGCAGCTGGACGGATGCAAGAAGGAGTCCGGAGCAGCGCGGTTGCGCAAAGCTGTTTATTCGCGGTGTGGCCGTGGGGCTCCGTGCGGTCGGAGCTGCGGTCGGCTCTAACCGCGCTCGTGCTGCACCAGGGCCGGGCTGTCTTCGTCCCGCTGCTCGTAGCCGGGGTTGCGGCGCCCCACGCTCAGGCGGCAGAAGCAGCCCCCGGGTACTGCCGAGTAGTGCGCGAGCAGCGCCGGCATGGAGCGGAATTCGGCGTGGGAGTGCTGCAGGAGAGAGGCGCCGGTGTGCCGGTGCACCGATGCGTGCTTGCACTGTGCAACCAGGAAGGGAATCACCAGTGCTCCGTGCACTCATGCTCTAAAGAAATGCGCTGAAGCACAGTGTGCCCCTGCGTTCACGCACCCCGATGCCCTGAAGGACCAGCGAACCACGCACCCACCCATCTTGCACCAGTCCAGCTTGGAACCAAAAGCGCTCGTGCACGTACGTGTGAATTCCTCATGCAAGCGCACCCTCGTGCACCCACACACCGGTGTGACGCAGCACACTGCATTGGTGCATCCAGTGGTGCACAGGTGGGTGCAGGTGCACAACAACGTGTTCACACCGGTGCATTTGTATGCGCGCAGGGAGCTGGTGGAGTCTCCTCTGGAGATGTTCCACACCCGCCCGGACGCCTGCTTGTGCGACCTGCTGCGGGGAACTGCTTTGGCAGGGAGCTGGACTCGACGATCTCTGGAGGCCCCTACGGTTCCGTGGTCCCTATGCACACACGCACCCGTCCACGAACGCATCCGTGCGTGCATCCCCGACCCGCGCACCGACAGCACGCAGCGCCCGCTCACCTCCACGCAGAAGCGGCCCTGCCGCGTCCGCAGCACGCAGTACGGCACGACTCCGCAGGGCGCGCGCACCCACAGGCACCAGCGCGGGGCGCCGCCGGGCTCGGCGCGCAGCAGGAAGGCTCCCGGCGCGTCTCCGTGCAGCAGCGCCACGCCGCCGGCCCTGCGGGGACGCGCGGATGGGTGCGGGGCCGGTCGGGGGCTGCGGGGCGGGGTGGCGAGCGCTCACCTGGCGATGCCGGCGAAGGCCCACACGCTCTCGGCGAGGGCGGCCTCGGTGTCAGGGAGCAGCGCCAGGCCCCGCGCGCTTCTGCTCTCCCATCCCGACGGGGCTGGGGGAGGTGGGGTGGGTGCCCGGCCCCAAACCCCCTCCTCACCCCCCAGGATTTCTCTTTGAGCCCAAATCCCATCCCTGGCCCCTCACTGACACCAAATGTGACCCCAGATCCCGTCCTCCCCACCGAAGCCTCTCCTGATCCCAAATATCCTCCTTGACCTCGAAACCTTCCTGTGACGCCCAAATCCTCTCCTCGATCTCAAATCCCCTCCTTGACCCCAAATTCCCCTTGACGACCTCATATCCCTTCATCGATCCCCAAATCCTCTCTTTACTCCAAAATCCTATCCCCAAATCCTCACCCCAAATCCCCTTACCAGCCCCAAAATCCCCTCCTTGGCCCCAAAATCCTCTCTTTGAGTCCCAAATTCTATTCCTACACCCCAAATCCCCTCATCCCCCCAAGTTTCTTCTTCGGCCCTAAATCCTCTCCCTCACCCCCAAAATACTCTCTTCAACCCCAGATCTCTTTGACCCCCAAATCGCATCCTTGACATCACATCCTCTCCTTGATCCAAGATCTCCTACGTGACATCAAAACCTTTCTCTGACCCCAAAATCATTTCCTCTTCGAACCCGAAATCCCCTCCTTGGCACCCAAATCCTCACAGTAATCCCTATTTCCTATCATTCACACCAAATCCCCTCCTTGTCTCCCTCTTTTTGACCTTAAATCCCCTGCTTGACCCCCAAATCCTCTCATTAAACCCCAAATCCTATCCTTCATGCCAAATCCTCGCATTGGCTCCAAAACCCTCTTTGACCCCAAATCCTTTCTGACTTCAAAATCCTATTCTCATCCCAAATCGCCTCTTCTTGATCCCAAATCTCATCTTTGACCCTGAATTCCCTCAACAACCCCAAATCCCCTTGTTGGCCTCCAAATCCTCTATCTGATCCCCAAAATCCTCAACCTCTGACCCCTTCTGACCCCAGAATCCCCTCAAATGACTCCAGATCCTCAACCCGCAACCCCAAATCCCTTCTCTGACTCCAAAATCCCCTCCTTGATCCCAAATCCTCTCCTGAACCCCGAAATCCCCTTCCTGATCCGCCAGAATCCCACCTTGACCCCAAACCCCCTCAGTGGCCCCACAATACCCTCCTTGAGCCCCAGATCCCCATCTTGACCCCTAATGCCCTCAATGGCCCCACAATCCCCTCCTTAACCTCCAAATCCTCTCTTTGACCCCCTAAATCCTCTCCTCAATCTCAAGTCCCCTCTCTGACCCTGAAATCCCCATCTTGACCCCAAATTCCCTCAATGGCTCCGCAATCTCCTCCCTGACCCCCAAGTCCCCTCAAATGTCCCGAATCCCCTCATTAGCCCCCCAATCCTCTCTTTGATCCCCCAAATCTTCAACTTCTAACCCCTCTCTGACGCTAGAATCCCCTCAAACATCCTCAAATCCTCTTCTCAAGCCACAGTTCCCTCTCTGACCCCAAATCCCTTCACTGACCCCAAGGTTTCCTCCTCGACCCCCAAATCATCCCTTTGACTCCCAAAGTCCTCTCCTCCACCCAAATTCCTTCTCTGACCCTAAATCCCCTCAATGGCCCCGCAATCCCCTCTTTGACCCCCCAAATCCTCTCCTCGGTCCCAAATACCCAGTCTGACCCCAAGATCCCTTCCTTGATGCCAAATCCCCTCCTTGACCCCAGATCATCTCTTTGACCCCCCCGAAGCCCTTGCCTCCACCCAAACCCCCCTCCGACCCTCAAACTGCCCTTTGACCCCAGCCCCCCCCACTCACCACCCTCTCTGTGCTGCAGTTGACTCTCAGCCCCGCAGTCTCGGTAGGCACCCGAGCGCAGCACTTTGCTGCGGATCGCCTTTTTGCGCACCAGCACTGGGGAGCAGTACGGGTTCCCTGGGTGCCAACCCACAGCGCGGCCCTCGGCCTCCACCCGTCTCTCTTGGAGCAGATGCTGTGCAAAGACGTGCTGTGGAAATAGGCTGAGAGTTAAAGATGGAGCAAGGAAAGGCCGTGTGAGGAAGGGCCATGGAGTGTGCTGTGCAAAAGTGCTGTGCAAAAAGTGCTGTGCAAAAAGTGCTGTGCAAAACGCCATGAGATAAAGCCAGGCGGGGTGGGCTGTGCAAAATGCTCTGTGCAAAGATGTGCTGCGTACAACTGCGTGCTGGAAAAGGCCATGCAAAGAAGGGCTGTGCAAAACGCAGCACTGAAAACAGCAGGGGAAGCGCTGTGAAAGCAGCCTGCAAAAAGAGGCTTTGCTGACGTGCTGTGCAAAGTATGTGAAGCACCATGGGAAGGAAGTTCACCTGGTGCAAAATCTGTGCAAGGAAAGGCTGTGCAAGACATGATGGAGAAATGCTGTGCAAAGATGCACCATGCAAGGATGCGCCGTGCAAAAATGGACTGTGCAAAGAATGTGCTGTGCAAAAATGCAGCATGCGAAAAAATGAGTCATGCAAAAATATGTTGTGCAAAAATGCATTGTGCAAAAGATCCGCTGTGGAAAGGTGCACCATGGGGAAAAAATGCACAATGAAAGAAACGCTCCTTGCAAAGGTGTGTCGTGCAAAGACGCTCTGTGCGAAGATGCACCATGCAGGCATTTCCCATGCAGTGTGCTGTGCAGCGATCCGTGCAGTGCTGCGCTGCAAAGGTCTGCACCCACCCCTGCACCCAGAGGTCCGAGGGCAGGCAGGCGCCGCAGGGACAGCAGCGCGTTGACGTTGCGCGACACCTCCTCGGGGTTGAGGGGCTCCCGCAGCAGCGGGGGGGGGTCGGGCTCAGCCGCCTGCAGCTCAGGGTGCGCCTGCAGGTAACAGAGCTGGAAGGAGCGGCACAGCAGCAGGTGCAGCACGTGCACCTGCAGGGAGAGAGGGGAGAGAGTCAGATTGATAACGCAGAAGTGATTGAAGCGTTCAGGGGTGGGAGGGTGGGAGCAGGCAGGCACCTCGCCCGGGGGGCCCACAAAGAGGTGGCAGAACAGTGAGCTGGGGGGGCTGCGAGGGTTGCGGGCCACGAAGGCGAACTGGCGCTCGGCGTGCAGGCAGGTGCTGTACAGGATGCGGCGCAGCGCGTGCGCCATCAGCAGCGTCTGCAGCGACAGCGGGGCCTGGCTGGGACCATGGTGTGAGCAGAGCCCGGCCCGAGCCTGGCTGCAAATGCTCGTCTGCAAAGCGGGCAGCTGCGCTCTGAGTGCTGCAGATCCCCCAGAGCACACCTTCAAAGTGGCATCCGGCACCCTGTGCATCACATCGCACATTGCACCCAGCACCCACCTCCCCGTCAGCTCCGTAGACCTTCAGTCCCTGCAAGCTGAACCTGAGCACCACAGGCTTCCTCCTGGGGCAATCCTGGCAGGGACACGGGGTGGTGGTGGGGTCCCCCTGCTGCCATCTGGCATCCCCCCACCAGCCGTGGGGATTTGAGGGCAATGGGATGGCCCACCTGCAGCGCCCGCAGCTGCTCCTCCAGCTGCCCTGCGTGCTGCTGCAGCTCCAGCTCCTCCAGCATGAAGGAACCCACGTACTGGGGGGGCGACAATCCCATCCTGCTTCAGCAGCCCCCCATGGGATTCCCCAACAACAAGGGGATGCGGCACTGTGGGTCACACCTGCACCCCAATGGCCTCACCTCTGCTGCCTTGGCGATGCCCCGGCTACGAGGGGGTGGTGGTGCCGGATCCGGCCCCCTCCCGTTGGCTGTCATCTTCTTCTTCATGGCAGCAGCTTCCTAAATCCTTACCGCAATGCAGAGGTCCCAAAATCCTCACCCCGATGCAGAAGTTCCCAAATCCTGACCCCATCACAGAAGTTCCCAGATCTTTACCCCAGTAAAGGCTCCTGGCTCCCAACCGCAACCTCACCCCAAGCACCATGCGAGGGTCCCCACGGCCCAGCCTCAGTGCAAGGGTTGGGATCCAGGAGCGTTGTGCAAGTGTCCCCAAATCCAGACCCTGCCCCCCAGTGCAAAGTCCCCATGTCCCAAACTCATCACCACATCACCATAACAGGGTTTTCTCATCCTCTGCCCCTAAGCTCCGTGCAGGGCTCCCACGTCCCAAGCATGATGCAGGCACCCACATCCTGATCCACCTGTGATGTCAGGGGTCCCCACACCCTGACTCCAAATAAGATGCATGCGGCCCAAATGAAACCCAAGCAAGATCCACAGGTACCCAAATCCTGAACCCAGGCGGGGGTCCCTGCACCCTGGGGGTGGCAGCATCTCGTGGCAGGGGAAGGGGAGAGGTTAGCGGTAAGGATGGGCCTCAAAGGGGCTTTGGGGCTGAGACCCGTGCAGCTCGTGACACCGCTGGCTGCAAAAAACACGGGTTGGGGGTCCAGGCACATCCCGGGTGGGCGCGGGCTCAGGGCTGCCCCATCTATTCCGGCACCGTTCGGGGGTCTTTCCCCCACCCCCAGCCAATCCGCAGGCAGGCAGCCCCCAAGCCCCGCCCCCTTTTTCCCACGCTCCATTTCTCAATGGGGCCCCCCAGCCCACCGCCACCGCCACCCCGCAGCTCCCCCAGGGAAGGATGCTGACCCCGAGAGGAGCTCGCCCACCACAGCGGGCCCCGTTCCCCCGCTCACGGGCAGCTCCAGAGAAACGCAGGCGAAATCCTCCGGTTCTCGGCCTCAGTCCGGCGCTTTCGTTCCCTGGGGGCTCCGCCGGGCGCGACGCAGGGATGCTCCGCAGGGATGCTCCGCAGGGATGCTCTGCCCTGCTGTCAGGCCCCCGCTGCACGCCAGGCCCCGCCAAGCGCGAGCCCACGGCGGGCACGGGGCAGGCAGCGAACTCCCATTTCCTGCCTCCGATCTGCCCGCGATGAATCACTGCAATTTACCTCCCCGTTTTCTCCGTCTCTTGGAAGCGACGGCGAGCAGAAAGGCTCGGGCTTTTTGGAAAACGCAGCTGCAACCCGTTGCTTTTTTTTTTTTTCCTTCTTTCCTTTGAGAAGCCGAGCTCTCTCCCCACTGCACACACGTGGCTGCACGCTCACCACCCCTGCCCTCCTCACCCCAATTCCCGCCTTGCCCCCTGTCATCCATCCACTCTGCTTTTGGTCACGCAGTCATATAGAAACAACGGGGGATGGCTCCTGCAAAGAAAGGGATGCAGCCATATGTAAAGCCAACGCCACATCCCAAAAACTCCAAGTTGTGCCCCAAAACCTCAGTGTTGCGCCCCCGCATACCAACATTACGTCCCCCGAACCCAAAGACACGTGCTCAAATCCTAACATTGTGCCAGGAAAACCCAAAAACGCTCTGACTGGGAGCACACAGCAGCTGCCCACAGCCAGAGACACTTGTGAAGGGAAGGCAACGCACTGGGGAGAAGGCGCAGCCCCAGCCTTTGGAGGCGCCTCTAAAAACCCCAGCGCCAGCCTCGGTGCACCCAAGGGTGTAAGGAAAAGGGCTGCCACCAATGCTGAGCGCTTTGAGACACCACAGAGTGCCCTGGTGGAGCCAGCAGCATTGGAACAGAGGAAAGAAAGGAAAAGAAGGACAGATGGGAGCGAGGGAACAACACAACAGAGCCCGTCTGGGCAGGAAGCAGGCTGGGGACACGCAGCAGAGCTGGCACAAAGCTTCCCAAAGAGAGCTGCTGCTTTCTCCTGGTGCCCCACTATGCTGTGCTGCAGGCTGAGCTCCCCATCCAGCCCCAGTGGAAAGCAGTTGCTGCTCCAGGCTGCCCTGGGAAGGCAGGTGGCCCAACCAGCAAAAAAAGCCACAACTAAAGAGTTTGGAGGTGACCAATGGCAGCTTTTAGCACAACCTTGGCAGCAAAATTAAATTGCACTCGGGTGCAAAGGATCAGAGCTGTGCAGGTGATTCAGCAGGTATTTTTTGGGTTGCTGGGGTGGAAACGTTACCCCAAAGAGGGAGTAGAGAGGTGCTGCAGGACAACAGCTGGGAGGAGGACCCCATAGCCCCACAAGCATCCTGGAGAGAAGGTTTTATTCAGATCTGCCTTGGAGGAAACCACCACCAAAACCCTCTGTTTCAGTATGCAGCAGCAGGAGAGTCACTGACCAAAGTTAAGTGCTTTACAGCTCCCTGGGTCACTTGAGTGCCTTCCCTCTGTTTCACGTCAGCCACAGCTTTCATGAGCCTGTGCTCTCTGCATCCTTGCTCCAGGGCTGCGAGCAATGGAGGACATTTCTGTAAGAGCTTTTTAAACTCCCTGTTATTGGAGGCAGCACACTGAGGCCGCACCTGAAAAGGGTGAACAGAGTAAGGAGGCTTTTCCATTTTGCACTCATTTCTGAAGGCACTTCCACTGCCCCCAGTGTGGCAGATGCAAAGCTCTTCCCAAAAGCACGTTAAGCAAAGAGCTCATGCTTGAATCACTCACGTTGCCCCATTCAAGGGAAGTCCAGGATGCTCTGCTGCCAGCAGCGTACTCCTAACAAAGGCTTGCCTCTGCGGAGCACACTCACTGCAATTCTCTCCTCCCTGGGCTTCCAGGAGAAAGCTGTGGCGAGGAAGGTAAAGGACACACAGAGCAGGCCCGGAATCTAGTTTCATTTTATTTTAGCAAACTGCATGTTCTTCACTTATCAACATCTCTACATTAGCAACTGTATAGCTTTCCAACTTTTCTTTTTAAAAAAGGGTAAACAAGAAGTGACAAAACTTAGGCTCTTCATCTCTTAAAAACATTTGAAAGTTGGATTCAAGAAGAATTTTATATATTTTGGTTTCAAGGTAACAGAAGTAGCATGGAAACACTAATTCAAATCACCCGCCCAAGAACCACCCCTTCCAGAGCCCCTCTGGTGTCAGACGCTCGGTAACGCGGCAGCCTCTGCTGACTGAAGACCTGGACCCACTCTCCCACTTACTGAAAAAGCCACACACCCCCCTCGACCTGCCAGCATCACAGCTGAGCAAAAGGAGCACCTCCAGGGCTCAGTGCAAGTGCTGTATAGATACACTGCTCCTTCACAGAAGCAGGAAGGACCTCATCATGCAGGGGATCTAAGGAGGACTCCAGTGCCGTCGTACCTTCTCAATTAAGAACCATACTTCCCCCAATCACCATGTTCCTGCTGCCTGGAAATACAAATAACTTCTTTGAAGAATTTTTAAACGCTGCCCTCCCCTCAAACCCAAGAAAAACACCATAAAATGTACAGATTACAGGTCCTAGAAAAGTCTTAAGATTATTGTAGAAACTAAAGATGACTTGTTCCAGGGGAGGGGTAGGCACAAGGCACAGCACTGAGATCTAACAAATGCTTAGGTTGTTTGATTTAGTTTTCAGCTTTTTCCCCCATCATTCAAGAAGAAAAAAAAAAAAAAAAAAAAGTGTTTAAGCATCAGAACTAAAATACAAATGCACGTTGACTTTATAAAACAAGATTGTGGATTTGATCGTGGGATCCCCTGACAGTGGAAATATTTACTTTTTTGCCCGGAGAGATTTCCTCATGGCAGATTTGCCCTTGGCAGAAGGTTTCACCTCCTTCCTCCCGCCAGCTGCTGGTTTCTTGGAAGAGCTGCCACCAGAGGGTTTCTTGATGACAGGGGCTGCTGGTTTGGCTTTCTTTGCAGGGGTTTTCACCTTGGGTGGGGGCTTCGCTTTCCCCCGGCGGGCTGCAGGGGTCTTTCTGGGCTTGGGCTTGGATTCTCTTCGCTTCATCGGAGGAGCCCTGCTCCGTGACTTTGGAGGAGGTCTCTTCTGAATCCTGTCAGAAAGGCGGCACAAGACCTCAGCAGAGGCGCAAACGCGACTCAGAGCAGAGCTGCTGTCATCAATTTACATAAATGAAACAGATCTTGGCATCTCTGCTCTTTACCACGGATGTTCCTTCATGCAGCAGCACATTTCATCAGCCAAATCCCACAGAGCAAGGAGCCCTGCGGTGGACCTTGCCGCGCCACGCGCTTCTCCATCCCCCAAGATCTCAGTGGCAGAGCACTGGCTCCTCTGTGAGACTGCTTGCCATTATTGGTCTGTTTACATGCCTAAGTCGATTGCCAGAACAATCCAGCGAGCTGAGGATTCTCTCTGCCTCTCTGACAGTGATTTTATTATTATTCAAACACTCATCTTAAACCCACATTCTGAGTGAGACAGGTTTCCTGTCCGGCTACACAACTGCAGACGATACCGTAGGAAAAAGTTTTCCTGAGGAAACAAAAGTCCAAGCAGGGCCACACGGAGCGCCGCTCTTTTGTAGAGCACAAAAGGCACAAGGAGATTAAAGGCACCGCAGAGAACAAGTATTTCTCTCATCTAGAGGAATTCCAGCTATGGAGTGACAGATTATCATCTGTGGAGCAGAGCATTGCTTCTGCAGACACATCCTGGAGAAGTCCTGATCCTAACAGCTCCCCCAGGAGTTCAGAAAACTACTGGAAAATAAAGTTCCTAATATCTCCTGAGTGGCAGCTTGTGGGTCAGCAGCCACAGCAAAACACTCTACAGCTCCAACTGTCACTTCTAATTCATCCAAAGGAGCCCATTTCTCTCTTTTGCTACCATACCTCTTCTTTGGTGGTGGCTCTTCCTCCTCAGACTCCTCATCTTCAGATTCTTCTTCCTCCTCAGATTCCTCCTCTTCCTCCTCATCAGATTCTTCAGAGTCCTCATCCTGCTGCTTCTCTGGGTAGAGCACATCTGGGCTACAAGAGAATTCTTGTCAGAGCACAACTTACTTCTAAGGCCTTGGCCAACCCTAATTGCTCCTTCTGTGCAAACAATGGAAGAACAAGATCAGACTCCAGTGCTCTGAATGCAGGCCAGAGCTACTGAGGACTTCACACATACACGACAGAAGAAGGTGGTAAGCAGAAGCATTAATTACTGCGTTGCCATGCGGCTCTTAGTGGGACACGAAGTCACCATCCCGGGACTCCCTGCGGCCCAGCACAACATACACTCACAGCAGCAGAGAAAAGGCTGCTTTCAGTCTCATGGTGGCCAACCTAGGCCAGCTTCCCTCCTCCCACCTCTCCTCCACATCAGCACCACGAAAAGACCAGGCCCTCTCGTTATCAGCACCCCTGCATTAAACACAACACTCTCCACCTGCTCACGCAAATTTGTTTTAGCATGGGAACACTTCAATAGCTACTATCTTGGAAAAAAACAAAGCACAGAACCATCATGACAGAGCACGTGAGAGCATTTAGCCTAGTATTTTCACTGCCCTTAAGTCTCCCTTCTAATGAAATCAGCTTTATGTCCACTCACAGTCAGACACCAAGTAATGTCATCACCTAAAGCAAGACAGGTGACAATGCTGTGGTTTTTCAGTTATTAAACCCTCCAAAGACTTCCCTATAAGCAGGAGGTTGGCCTACGAACTTCAGCAATGCTCTCTGGCTGACCCATCTTTGACATCATTTCACAGCCAAGCCCTTTACCTAGGGTAATAAGGGAAGCAAAGCTGAAAGGTTCCACTGAAGCCCTTTCCAGAAATCTGCTCCAACCAGCCGTTCTTCTCACATCTCTGCAGGGTTCTCTTCAGTAGATGCACTGTAGGGAAAAAATAAAAATTAAAAATAAAATAAAAAAATAAAAATAAAAAAATCAGAGAAAGGCTGCATTACTATCTTAGCCCACTGGTCTGATCTTACTGCTCTTGCAGCGCCTTCTGAAATAAGAGACAGGGAGCCAGTATGAAATCTTCTTTCCCAGGATACCTGAAGGGAAGTGAAACTGCACCAGAGCTGAAACTCATGAGGACATCACTGCATGCTTCTTCCTACACTCACCAATGATCTGCTGCTTCGTGAAGCACCCAGCAAGAACACTGAACTTCAAAGCTTCCCCTTTCAATACGACATAATAATCACTTCATAATTAATTTTCTCAAAGATTCAAACAATTGATAGGATTCAAGTGTTGGCTCATGAACATTTGGCAAGTGAGGCTTTAAATTCACTGAAGGAAGAAGTCAAGAACAGCGCAGGTTTTTGACGTCACGATTAGGGCATCATTCTTTCAGAATGCATTCGATAGCAGTGCTTAACTACTTCTGCCCAACAAACTCAAGTCTCAGCTCCTCTGAGAACGTTCTCCAAAGTGTCTGTTAAAATAAGCTAATAAAATAACTCTGTTTCATAAACAGGAGCAACACAAACTATTCCTACCCGGGGCACCGAAGATCAATAGCAGCATGTGAAGGATCTGACTGGAGTTATAAGTGTGAGGGAAGAATCACAGAATCCTAGAATCACAGGGTTGGAAAGGACCTGCAAGATCGAGTCCAACAGTCCCATCAGCACTGCCACCACAAGCACTAACCCACATCTCACAGCTCCTCATCCAGGCGCCTCTTGAGCACTGCCAGGGATGGCGACTGCACCACCTCCCTGGGCAGCCACTCCTTGCCTGACCACTGAGAGAAAAAGTTCTTCCTTACGTCTAACCTAAACCTCCTCTGCTACAACTTGGGGCCATTTCCTTGGGTCCTGTTTGTTTCTCGGCCTGGGAGAAGAGGCCCCTCCTCATCACAACCTCCCTTCAGGAATCTGTAGAGTGCAGTGAGGCCTCCCCTGAGCCTCCTCTTCTCTACACTGAACAATCCCAGCTCCCTCAGCCACTGTTCATAAAACTCATGCTCCAGACCCCTCACCAGTTTCGCTGCCCTCCTCTGGACACGCTCCAGGGCCTCAATATCTTTCTTGTACCCAAAACTGAACACAGCACTTGAGGTGCAGCCTCACCAGTGCTGAGTACAGGGGATGGTGACCTCCCTCTCCTGCTGGCCACACCATTTCTAATGCAGGATGCAGTTGACCCTCCTGGCCCCACTGCTGGCTCATGTTCAGCTGAGCATCAGCCAACACCCCCTTCGTCTTCAGTCTTCCCCCTTCATCCCCAAGCCTGCAGCGCTGCATGGGGTTGTTGTAGCCGAAGTCCAGCACCCGACACTTGGCCCTGTTGAGCCTCATCCCATTCACCTCAGCCCAGCCATCCAGCTTATCCAGATCCCTCTGCAGGGCCTCCCTGCCCTCAGGCAGATCAACACCACCTCCCAACTTGGTGTCATCTGCAAACTTACTGAGGGTGCATTCAATGCCCTCAGAATCACAGAATCACAGAATCACCCGGGTTGGAAGGGACCTCAAGGATCATGCAGTTCCAACCCCCCTGCCCAGCAGGGCCACCAAACACACACATTCAGATCAGGTTGCCCAGGACCCCATCCAACCTGGCCTTGAACACGTCCAAGGACGGGGCATCCACAACCTCCCTGGGCAGCCCGTTCCAGGGCCTAACCGCTCTCCTTGTGAAGAACTTCCCCCTAACATCCAACCTAAATCTTTCCTCCTTCAACTTGGCCCTCATCCAGGTCATCAATAAAGATATTAAACAAGAAGGGTCCCAGTTCCGAGCCCTGGGGGACACCACTTGAAGCAGGTTGCCAGCTGGACTCCACTCCATTACCACAACCTGTGGGCACGGCCCTCAGCCAGTTCCTTACCCAAACCTGTCCAGGCCATGGGCAGGCAGTCTCCC